GGTGGCCAGGGCCCGGCCGAGCCTCCTGCGCTTGGTCTTGAGCACGCGCTCGGTCTTGCAGGAGGTGTAGAGCGCTTCCACGTCTTCCCGGGAGATGAGCGTGCATTTGGCGGCGTGGAAGGCGATGCTGTTGATGGCCTTGAGTTTCCGCAACTCCTCCAGATCGCAGTGGTGCTTTTTCACTTTCAGATGATCCATGCGCTTGTGCACGGTCGTCCTCGGGATGTTTTTCAGCAGATCTGTGAAGACTTGGGAGAGGGCAAACATTTGCTTGCCTTTAATGATGAGGTAGCCGAGCCTCACGCCATCCACCTCTTCAAAACCTGACTTCAGGTCTCCCATCTCGGGCACTAAAGGATCCCCACCATTTGCAGGAAATATATACGTGACGCATACATACACATGGATGTATGTTAATCCTCCGCCAGATGCTGCGTGTGTCTCAAGGCATCCTGCTAATAAAATAACAAAGACTGTTATTCCCGGAGAAGGGAGTGCCAAACTCTAGGCGAAATTATGGACGGGGGGGAGGAAAAACCCCATGAAATTACACTGACTTGATTCTTGCTTTTTTTTTGGTTTTCGTTTTTTTCAAAAAGAGGGAAAAAACCATCCGGTTTCTGATCTGCCAGTGTGTGTGTTGGTCTGAGTCCTCGCTGCAGATCAGTACCTGGGCCCCTCTATTTCTTCCTTCTCCATTGGAGCACTGTGATAATGGAATGTGAAGGCAGAAAGAGAAAAGAAATGCAGCTGCTATTCCCGCCGCTGCTTTAGCTACAAATAAAATGACAGAGTGAAGCGAGCTCGTCCGGAGACACCTTCATCAATTAATTCCCCTAAAGCCAACGCTGATTGGACACTCCTGACAGGTGATGCAATAAAAATTGATATTCCACCCCTTCCCCCCAAAATCTCCTACTAATTAGCATACCCTTATACTGCCACCTCCCCTCCCAAAGTAAATAATACAGTCGGTATATAAATCTTTCCATTAAACTATCGGAGCTCAGAAACAGCCTGACTCACAGACTTCAGGAGAAGCAGTGTGTGCACGCTTAAAAAAAAAAAAAAAAAAAAAAAAAGCCACCGTATATTCCCCTTTAAAGAAATATTGCCTATTTTTGCATTATTTGCATTCTACTGATAACAGCTATTATCGTTTCATAGAAAAGCATTTTAAAAACATTATCAAGCACAGATAGAAAGACCCCACCCCCCTTTTCCTTTGGAAAATGGAGCTTAAGCGAAAAATGTGCAGAATAGCCTGGTATTTCCCTTATGGAAGCGGGGAAGGATACTGCAGCTCCAAAGTTAAACCGCGCCGTGAACCACCCCAGTAGACTTACGTTTGGAATTTCTCTCGATTTTCCTTTTTTCCCCCCTGAAATGCCTTTTTTACAACCAGAAACAAAGTTACGTATTTGACCAAGGAAGCAGTTCAAGGCTCCAGCTCCGAAACACTAACAATTCTACTGGATTTCGGTCCTCTGCTGGGGGGTGGGGTGGGGAGGAGGTAGTTTCGCGTCAGACCCATAACAAAGCATAGATAAGCCAGAAATGTGTACACTTTTCACGATTAACCGGGCTGTTTGGAGGCGGGATTGTCCTAGAGCCCCCAGCACAGCCTATGCCAGGGTCCTGTTCACGACAGATCAGAATTCCAGGGAGCAGATTGCTTCCTTGTGCAGCAAAGAAAAGAAAATGTAAAATGCCCAAGGTGCTTCCAGAGGTTTTACGTAGTAGTAACGATGAAAAGAAAGTGCTGATGTATAATGCAGACTATTTCAGTGGTCTGGGATGCTTGAATTGGTAGTTTAGGTGAACCTTCCACAACTCTCATTTTTTTTCGCCCATGAAAACCAAGTATCTGCTTTCACAAAATCACTTTGGATGAATATCAGTATGGTTTAACCTTTTCTTAGTCAAATTGAAGCACAGTTTGCTGTCATTTTCAAGGCTATCCAAAATATTGCCAAAGGAGAGCAAGAGTCTTCCTACTTGTATTACAAGGGTCCCAAGGCGCTTTGTTGGCTGCTTTGCAGAATTCGGCAAAACCTTCTTAACTGTTCGGTGTTTGCAACTACAGCATAAATGCAACCCAGGCATTTATATGTTTCCTTCTTCCTCCAAAAATAGACACATCCGTGTGGTTAAAGAATAAACGGATATTTCTGAGCCTTCAAGGAAAAAAAAGTGTACAATAATTTCTTTCTTCAAGTTCAAAAGTTCTACTTTCCCCTGTTCTGGTCTGACTAGCAGGTATTCCCCCCGCCCAAAAAAAAAAGATTCAGACATACAAAAACGTATTGCTTGACAAGATGAAATCTCTTGGCCATAGTTCCCCACCCACCCTCATCTCCCTTGTAATTTCCCCGGAATTTTGAAGAGAATTGGGAATTTCAAGAAGTACATCCGGAAATTAAGGAAGTCTATTTAAGAGAGTCTGTAACTCAGGAGGTTGGGATTTGAAAAGTCAGCCCTGGACTACTGTTGCACTCAGCACAGATGTAATCGCCGCTTTTCAACTTAATCAATGTGTGTACAAACCTCGATGTCTAGTTCTTGCCTTTGAAATCTAAGGCAAGCATTTCCATCCAAGAAATCAGAGCTACAGCAAATTACATTTTTGTCCCTTGAATGAGAGAAGGATCATAGAATGGATCTCGTGATATTTCAGGCTTTAAACGTAACCGAGAGGCAGCGATGAACAATGCCTCGTCACAGCTAATACCATCCACCGAGTTGCCTTTCTTTTGCATCTGGATCTATCACACGGCGTTTTTCTCTTTCACTTTCACAGGAGGCAAAATGCACAAGGTTTAAGCAGAAAACAAAGTTTCCAGGAAAAGCAGATGCTGGTGTTTGTTTTTAAAAGTAGAATGACCAGAGTCTTTCCATTGCCAGTAACAATAATGCCGTTTTAAAATTCCTCCTGATGCACTTATATACTGCTAGCCCTCTCCTCCCACCCTACCCCCGCCCATTCCCCTCCTCCAGCTTTAAGATTTAGACCAGAGAGTCAAACAGCCAAGAAATAGTAAACTCAAAAAAAGCCTTTGAGAAGACATTACAAAAGATTGGCTAGAGCCTCCTTTTTTTGGAGGGGGGGTAGTTTTAGTTGTTCTTGATTCCTGTTTGGATTTACACGCGCGCGCGCGCACACATACACACACACACACACACACACACACACACACACACACACGCCCCACATTCCTCTTCCTTCAGCACATAGCAACATGATTTAGTGACCATTTCAAATTTACCTTCTTTTTGCTCTTTCTCTTTCCATCCTTGAAATACTATATAGATGGTTTTGAAAACTAGTAGGATATGAAGTATTAAAGAAAAACTAAATGTATAATCTGATCTTTTGGGTCAATTAGAGAAAAATAAGAGCCAAGGGATTTAGGAAATGTGTCTATATATTACTATTTATGCAGTGTCTCTGTATGTGTACCCAGACACCTTTATTTTTATACATTTTTAATACACCTATTACATATCTTTCTTCTTGTCTAATACATTCTTTTGTTCCTTTAACTTCCCCATCATTGTGTATGTGTGTGAGTGTGTGCGTGTGTATGTGTGTGTGTGCGTGCCCCAGCACCAGTGCTGAAGCCTTAACATACGCACACATACACACTCACAGAGTGTGACAGACAGCTTTCTTGTGGCCATCAGCACACGTTGCATATCCGGGGTCTTCTCCAGGCACATTGGGGGTCGATCCCGATAAAAAGATCTAGCAGAGGCCCCTGAGCGCTCACACATGAAAGGCAGGGGACTTTAAGATGGATTTGCATGCACACCGGGGATTTCGATCAATAGCTACCAACATTTATGGCTTAGATTATTAATGCGAAAGCTGGCCAAAAGAATGGGGATGAAAAATTAAAGGTGTCTGTTATCAATTATGCTTAAAGTTATGCAATAATTTACTTACTTTGCCTGGATGTGCAGATCCAGATGCATAAAGTACTATTCTTCAAAAGCCAGGGGGTTCTTTGATAAATTTGTTGACCATGTCAGCTGCCTCTACAATCAAAGATGAACCCAATTCAGATGATGGACTGTATTCAGATTCTTTTTTAAGAAAGGATACATCAACTTCTATGCTTCTCAAATATGTGGATGGCAATGCCCAGATTAACATGTATATAGCCATCTCTGTGAATTCAGGGAATTACTGTGAATTTAGGCATAGATATGCTATGCATTGAGTTTGTTAATTAAATGTGATCATTTACTCAGTGAGAAATGCATACTCTATGAGTTATTGTAAAAAGCATTTTAGCTTTGAAAACAAAGCTGCTTGCTAAAGGAAAATGCTCTGTAGCAAATACAAATTGAAATATATTCTTAATGTCCACTTCTGCATTTATTGTAAAAAATCAGCACTTTCTGGTTTTTAAAGTGATGGGCTATGAAGATTTGAACATGTTTGTCTTATCCCATATGAATGTGCTAAATTTACCTTCAGATGCTCTATTTTGATTTATTTTCACTGTATTTTATGTTTAAATACCATAGCAATTCAGTCTGACCTCTTTCCTCTGGAGCGAAGTAATGCGCACGGCATTTACAGTCTTTTAAATGGTTAGCTTGGAAATGCAATAGCAATTTGCAGGAGTAGTTTACTAATGGGGAAAGTTCTTTTGAAAACCTGAAGGAAAACCTAAGAGTACTTTTGCGTTTCTACACTACAACTGTCATATAATTAAAGTATTGAAGAGCATTAAAATAATCCTTTCCCTTCCAAGCTCTACATACATAATTTAAATGAGGATCAAGCCCCCACCAGCACCACCAACCACCTAACTTTACCATAGACAGTTGTTTTAGTGATTGCTGGGCACATTTTGTTCAAAGTGAATTCAGACAGAAGACAGCAAGGAACATCACAAAGGCCTCCACAATATAAGAGAGTGGTTACAAGTATAAATGAAGTCCCTTATACTGATGATTAAAATTAACTATAATATTTACAACATAAAGTCTAAAAGAGTAATAATTTAAAGTCTCACATGGATGAATTAGTTGAGGATGGAGGACAATAAAATCTCCAATAGTTTCTTAGTTAAACTTACCTGATATCACACCTTCCCTGATTTTGGGGAGGGAAAAATGAGACTGGAAGAAAAGGAAATGGCTAAAATGAGAACCAACTGAAATTATAACTTAGAATATTTTTCTTAATTTTTTTCTTCTTGTCTCATTCAAACTAACAGGGCAAGTCTCCCAAAGGGCCCATCCTTCTGTTCTAAGGCATTTAAAAATCCTGTCTTTAACAGAAGATTGGGACACATAGTATATGCCATGTTGTCTACTGACCCATAATCAAAATGCAGTGACCTTCTACCCTTTTTTTGCCCCCTGACCCATCTTGAATTCAATGCAGCCTTTATAAATTTGCAAATCCTTGGAGGTAAAGGTTTTTTTGTGAGGCTTTGTTCTGAAAAAGCCCTAAGAGTGTGCTTTCTAAATTAGACAAAGGTAAAAGGAAACGTTAGTGGATGAGATTTTATACAGGTGAGCAATAAGCAACTCTTCGAAAACATCTTTTGCAAGCTAAAAAGCAGTTAAAACATAGGAGACAAGGAGGTTATGGATTGCATCAAATTAGAGTGTGGTACAAATCACTTTCATGATGTAAGAAATGGTTAGGCCACAATCTTCCTGCTCTTCTCATCTCAAGGGCTGTGGGGGACCCTAGTGACCAAGGAAGGAATGGGGGTTGGGGGGGGAGAGACGGAAGGGAGGGAGGCAGGAAAGAAAGGAGAGAGACCTGCTCTGCATCTGTATACAGACACATTCCCTTATCTTTCCTGCTATCAGGCAGTTTAAAGGACACCATAATTATGATGGTGATAAAACAATGCCTCCTTATGTGTGCTGAATAAATAAAGAATGTTTACAGCTCCAGAATCTTTTTAATTCCAATTAAATGCTATCAAAGAAAAGCCACTTTTCCTACTGCAACCGCCTTTCCCCCCAATTATCTTGTTTTGTTGCAATATTTTCCTATGAGACACAAGAGACTTTCACAATTGATCTGAACTTAAGGAAGAAAAATCAGAGAAAGTAGAATTCAACCTTTCTATATTAAGGAATACACAAATCTCCAGAACCACTGTTGCTTTGGGTTGCCTGGGTTTTTGTTGACTCTTCACGAAGGCCAAACATGCAAAGCCTGAGCGATGATGCTGCATTGAGGCCTACCTATGGGCTGCTGAAGCCACACTAAAATCCCAGCACCCAGGAGGGAGAAAGGAAAGATAAGACAGGAAGGGCCTGATAGTCCCTGGAAAGGGAATCCTCCGGTTCTGTTCCTCTGGCTTCAGCCCAAATCCTTCTAGGAGCACTGGAGCCAATCACTGTCTTCCTTTCTGCGGCTACTGGAAACACAGGAAAAAAGCGGGAGATCAAAAAAAAAAAAAAAGGAAAAAAATCACAACTTCGAATTTATGGCTATGCAAGTATCATTTCATATCCATGACCTCAGCAAATCACATTATAATCACATTTAAACAAGGTTTGGGCAGTAATGCCCATCAGGCTAGGCACTAAACACTGACTACTGGCCAGAAAATTTGCTTTAAAATAAATGTTGGAGCCATAGAGTAAAAATTAAGTCTTTTAACTTTGCAAAGGTTACTTCTTCACTTTTGAGGCCAAGTGAAGGCCTCTTTTTCATTCTTTCCACAACATTTTAATTCAAACTTGCATTTCTTTCCTTTTTCAGTTGTGGTAGTGTTTTCTTGTGTTTTTTAAAAAAACACATGGCACAACAAACGCTGTGGAAAACGCGCTCATTCAGTTAAATGGCTTTGCAAACCTGCGTTTTACTCCAAGTAACACAGTACTAAGTAGAAACTGAACAACAACAAAAAAACTTTCTTCGAAAATATACTTAATATTTCCTGGCTAATATGCTTTGGTAATGTGCTGCAAAAATCAATGGTAAAAATTTTCAGGTATTTGTGAGTCTTCTGGAGAGTTGCAGGCCCCTTTCCTTTTGAAAGTTTAGAGCACCAATACCCTCGATTCTACTGGCAGAATTAGGATGGATTTAGAGGGTCCTAAACGTGACCGATTCACTTGGGCGGGGGGCTACATCTTGCAGCAACGTGCTCTGCAACTTAATCCTACGCTAAAAGAGGGCAGAGAGCGAAAAAGAATGGAATACAAACTCTCCCCACGGTCCTAGTTACTTTCAAGGTGGACTGCGTATTTTAAGTCTGATGGGAGCGTCCGGTTTTTGGAGCAAAAAGAAGAGAAGGTAAGTGTTTGTCCTTGTATCCACCAGTTCGTAGAGAAACAATGAAAGAACAAAGGAAACCACTTCCCCATCTGAACATTTCCTGCGTCTCCCTCCGTTTCAAGCCAAAAAGCTTCCGAGGGGATTCGCTTTACTCTACCTTAGTGGTCGCTAGGATCGTGGAGCTGGGAAGGAGAGAAAAGTTGAGAGAGTGTAAATATAGACTAAATAATAATAAAGGCTTGCTGCGGCGGGTTCACAGCGCCAGCCGCAGCAACTTGCCGCAGAAGTTGCTAAATGCATGCAGGCAAAGCTCAAGAAACCACCTTTGCATAGTAGATTTCGAACTCAGCTATTTCAACAGCCTTTCTTGCTGTTTGAAGGGGTCTCTGCGCCCAAAATGTGTGGGTGCTGTCTGTGGGAACAGAGCGGTGCACGATCTAGGTGGAAAGTGACCTCTCTTGCTGTCTAGGAAAGAATATTTTTAAAGGAAAGGGGATTCTATTGACGTTTGCTACGGTAGTGGACGAAATGGCAGCGGTGGCTGGGAAAGGAATCTGTATTTAAATATATTTGCTTTGGGGGTACCCAGGTTATGGGCAAGTCAGCCTTTGTGGGTCTGCGCGGCTAAGTGACCGAGTGCCCTCGGCATTATATAAATGGATCCGTGTGTGTGTGTGTGTGTGTGTGTGTGTGTGTGTGCGCGCGCGCGCGCGCGTTGGGGTGAGCCCTAATGCCGTCGAGCTCGTGAAACACGATTTTTTACTGCCCCCCAAGCAGCGACCAAGCCGGGTCCTCCCCACCTCACCTCGAAATGCGTATATTACCTGCCCTGTTACAGTGACACATGTTTATGTTTATAGTCCTGGTTTGTAGTAGTGTCAAGAGCCGCAGCGAGAGCAGGGGGAGGAGAGACGGAGAGGGAGGAGTAAATGCAACCACCCCCACTTGTTGTTAAAGCAAATTTACTGCGTTATTGCAAGCCCAGGACGGGTGGGGGGGGACTGGGAGGAGAGTTGAGGGGAAGGGAGAGTTGGGCTGGGCGTCGGTGGTGGAGGGGGTGGGGTTAGGAGATCCCCCGGCAGCCCGGGGGAGAAGCAACATAAGGAAGCAAGGCCGGCGTGGCAGAAAACAAAAAGGTTCCTCCTGCTTGCTGCGTTCACGAAGGGGGCTCTGCGAGCGGGGCTCCAGGGCCCTGACCTCTGACCCTGGCTCCTCTCCGCGCTCTCCCGGTGCCGCGCGGCCACTTTTTACCCAGGATGCCTTGCGCGGGCCGC